ATTGTTTTGTCTTTGCAGATGTAATGAAACCCTGATTTTTAAAAATCTGGGGGCCAGCGCTGTGGCTCACTTGGTTGATCCTCCGCCTGTGGTACTGGCATCCCATATGGGCGCCTGGTTCTAATCCTGGTTGCTCCCCTTCCAGTCCAGCTCTCTGTTGTGGCTAGGCTAGGAAGGCAGTGGAGGATGGCCCAAGTCCTTGGGCCCTGCACCCACATGGGAGACCAGGAGTTAGCACCCGGCTCCTGGCTTTGGATCGGCACATTGCATTGGCCGTAGCGGCCATTTGGGGGGTGAACAAATGGAAGGAAGACCTTTCTCTCTGTCTCTGTTTCTCTCACTGTCTAACTCTATATGTAAAAAAAAAAAAAAAAAAAAAATCTGGCCTTTTTCCCCCTTTGTTCATTGATAGAGAGCTTGTGTAGCGGGCTTATATGCTGCCTTGGCTGCAAGCAATGTAGACTGGTTTGTGAGAGACTTGAGCATTGATAAGGTTCTTCAGTCTAGGGAGGTGTTCGTAAGCTCTAATCCTACCCCTCCCCATATTTCCCTTTGTCACCTCCCTGGTCTCATTCTTACTCTTTGCTGCAGCTTTCATGACGTGTGCCTGCCTCTCAGATGCATACACTGAGTTCAGCCTCTCCCCTGATCTTTATCCTTAGGTAGGTCAGCTTGCTCCTTGGATCATACACAGACTTGCATCTCCCAGTGACTCTGTTTCAATATAAAATTGGTTCTTATTCACCTTTATTCAATATACAATTGATTTTTCTAACCCCAGATTGTTTCTCTTTGTATATTCCTCATTTTGGTTAATGGGCCTCGTCCGTATTAGGCATCTTTGGTTGGTGTCTTCCTTTATTCTTCTCCATCTGTCTTCAACACAGGCATACTTCAGAGATATTGTGGTTCAGTTATTGCACAAAGCAAATAGTGCAGTAAAGCAAGTCACATGAAGGTTTTGGTGTGCATATAAAAGTTATTTTTACATTATGCTATAATCTATTATGTGTAAAATAGCATTATGTCTAAAAAAACAACCAATATACTTAATTAAAACTGTTTTATTGTTAAAAACTGTTAATGATCAACTAAGCCCTCCATGAGTCATAACTGTTTTTCTGATGGAGAGATTGCCTCAGTGTTGGTGGCTGCTGATTGATGAGGGTGATGGTTGCTGAAGGTGGGTGCGGCTGTGGCAATTTCTTGAAGCAATAAATAGAGTTTCCTACACCAGCTGATTCTTCCTTTCAGCATTTGCCCATAGTAGAATTTTCAAAATTTGAATCAAACCTGTTAAACACTGCTACAGCTTTATCAACTAAGTTTATGTAGTCTTTTAAATCTTTTGTTGTAATTTCAATAGTGTTCACAGCATCTTCACGAGGAGTAGATTCCATCTCCAGATACCACTTTCTTTGCTCAGCCATAAGACACAACTCCTTATTCAGTTTTTCAGGAGACTTCACCAGTTCAGCCACATCTTCAGCTCCACCTTCTTTTGCTGTTTCTACCACATTTGCAGTTAATTCCTCCACTGCAGTCTTGTACTCCTCAAAATCATCTATGAGGGTTAAAATCAGCTTTTTCTGAGCAGCTGTTAATACTGATTTTTTTTAAAAAGAGATTTATTTATTTGAAAGGCAGAGTTAAAGAGATTGGTTGATTAATTGATCAATCGATCTTCCATCTGTGAGTTCACTTCCCAAATGTCCACAGTGGTCGGGACTGTTCCAGGCCAAAGCCAGGAGACTAGAACTCCACTGGGTCTTGACGTGGGTGGCAGGGGCCCAAGCACTCGAACCATCCTCCACTGTTTTCCTAGGTACATTGGCAGGGAGCTGGATTGGAAGTGGAGCAGCCCAGGACTCCAACCAGTGCTTATATAGGATGCCAGTGTTGCAGGCAGTGGCTTAACCTGCTGCACCACAGTGCTGGCCCCAGTGTTGATATTTTGACCTCCCATGAATCATGAATAATCTTTTTTTATTTTAAAGATTTTTTTTTATTTTTATTTTTTGAGAGGTAGAGTTACTGAAAGAAAGGGAGAGAAAGGTCTTTTATCCTCTGGTTCACTCCCCAAATGGATACAGTGTCTGGAGCTGGGCTGATCTGAAGTGAGAAGCTAGGAGCTTCTTCCAGGTTTCCCACATAGATGCAGGGGCCCAAGCACTTGGGCCATCTTCCACTGCTTTCCCTGGTCATTAGCAGAGAGCTGAATCAGAAGAGGAGCAGCCAGGACTCGAACCAGCACCCATATGGGATACCAGTGCCGCAGGTGGAGGCTTTACCTGCTATGCCACAGCACTGGGCCCTTGAATGATTTTTCTTAAAATTTTTTTAAAAGATTGATTTGTTTGAAAGAGTTACACAGAAAAGGAGAAACAGATCTTCCTTCTGCTGGGTCACCCCCTCAAATGGTTGCAATGGCCAGGGCTGGGCTAGGAAAGCCAGGAGCAGGGAACTCAACTGGACTCTTATGTAGGTGGCAGAGAACCAGGTACCTACCTGCGCCATCATCTGCTGTTTCCCAGGTGTGCCTTAGCAGGAAGCAGGATCAGAAGTGGAGGCGGGACTTAATCCCAGGCACTCTTACATGGGATGCAGTTGTCCCAAGTGGCTGCTGTGACAACACCCATTCCCTTGGAGCAGGCATTGATTTCTCTTTAACTGGAAAGTCCTAGATTGTGTCTTCCAATAGAAGGCTGTTTTGTCTACATTGAAAAGCTGTTGTTTAGGGGCTGGCACTGTGGTGTAGCAGGCTAAGCGTCCGCATGCAGTGGCTGCATCTTGTATGGACACCGGTTCGTATCTCGGCTGCTTTTCTTCTGATTCAGCTCTGTGCTGTGGCCTGGGAAAGCAGCAGAGGATGACCTAGGTCCCTGCACCCCTGCACCCCTGCACCCACGTGGAGACTGGAAGATGCTCCTGGCTTTGGATTGGCCGAGCTCTGGCCAATGTGGCCATTTGGGGAGTGAACCAGTGGATGGAAGACCTGTCTCTCTGTTTCTCCCTCTGTCTGTAGCTCTTCCTCTAAAATAAATAGATGATTTTTTTTTTTTTTTAAAGAAAAGCTGTTTAGTGTTGCCGCTTTCATCAGTTCTCTTAATTAGATCTTCTGGACAACTTGCTACAGCTGCTATATCAGCACTTGCTGCTTCACCTTGCACTTTTGTGTTACAGAGATGGTTTCTTTCCTTAAACCTCATGAACCAACCTCTGCTAGATTCAGACTTTTCTTCTGCAGTTTTCTCACCTTTCTCAGCCTTCACTCAATTAAAGAATGAGAGCCTTGCTCGGGATTAGGCTTTGGGTTAGGGGAACATTGTGGTTGTTTAGGTCTCCTATCCACACCATTAAAACTTTCTCCAAGGCTGTTTCACTTTCTTATCCTGCATGTGTTCACTGGAGTGGCATTTTTAATCTTCAAGAACTTTTCATTTGCATTCACACCTTGGCCTTTTGGTGCAACAAGCCAAGCTTTTTTTTTTTTTTTTTAAACTTTTATTTAATGAATATAAATTTCCAAAGTACAGCTTTTGGATTACAATGGCTTCCCCCCCATAACGTCCCTCCCACCCGCAAACCTCCCCTTTCCCACTCCCTCAAGCCAAGCTTTTGACCTACCTCAGCTCTTGACACACCTTCTAAACTTAATATTTTCTAGCTTTTGCTTTCAAATGAGAGACATGGGATTCTTCCTTTTTTTTTCCTTTCACATTTAGATGTGTTATAGGATTATTAACGGGCCTGATTTTAATATTGTATCTCAGGGAATAGGGAGGCCAGGGGAGAGGGAGATAGATGTGGTGGTGGAGGCGAGGACAGATTTGGGGTGGTCAGGAGGTATGGATAGTAGATCAGTGGAGCAGTCAAAACATGTGGCATGTAGCTTGTAAATCTGTCATAGAGTGGGACTCGTGACACCCCACAACAATAATGGTAACATCAAAGATTGTTGATCACAGATCACCATAGAAGATATAACACTAATGAATAAGTTTACAATATTATAAGAACTACCAAATTGTGATACAGAGACATGAGCTGAGTATAGGTTGTTGAAGAAAATGGTGCTAAGCCACAAACCTTCAATTTGTAAAAAACTGTAATGTCTGCAGAGTGAACAAAGCAAAACTCAATAAGGCAAATTTTGCCTGAATTATGTTCCTCCAGATTTCCCTTGGCTTTTCTTCCTCTCTATTCCCTTTGCTTCTCTGACTTTGTTTAGGCCTCACCTTTCTTCTGAACTTCTTTTCTCTTCTACTGGCCATAAGGTTGTTTTTCAAAAGAACATCATTACTTCTACTGTTGTTTAGGTTGTATATTACACAAAAGTGCCACGTTTATTCTAGAAATTATGGGTTTGTTTATTTATTTTGGCAATCTTCTAGCAGATGGGAGTAAAATGTGTTGTTCTAACATCACTATATGTTAGGACAACGAAGGAAGGGGAACCTGATACACATAAAGACACCAAGGAACTGAAGAAAACCTTCACTCTTTGTCCTTAGTTCTCTGGCAGGTGAAGTTGTCATCCATTGAGATCCCAGGTGAAATCCCTCTGCACCAGGGTCAGTTCTTTTACTGCGTCATGACATGTTTGCTTACTCTCTTCTTACAGTGCTTATCATGTTACATTATAATTGATACATGAATCTATTCAAGCCCCTCAGGGACAGGGCAATTCATTCTTTGGACCTTCATTAGATAGCCCAATGTCCAGCACACAGAGTAGGTCAATAAGTGTGTAACAATCTTTGATTGTTTAGCATGATGCAGGCAGGGAGATAAAGGCTTAACCAATTATATAATTTAATCCTGCCAGCAGCTCCCTGAGTCTGCCATTATCCTGGGTTTATGGGTGAGGGAGTTGGGAGAGGGAGGTGAAGTCATCTGCCTCAAGACGAGCATCTGGTAAATCACACCTGAGGTGCTGCTGAGGTGTGGTCTCCTGCCGCTGGGCCTGTTCCTAGCAGTTCTCTGGTTTTGTCTCTCAGATCGACAATGCGGGTGTGCTGGTTGGTGAGACAGGACAGCCAGCACCAGCGAATCAAACTTCCACATTTGGAAGCAGTTGTGATTGGACGCAGCCCAGAGACCAAGATCACTGATAAGAAATGTTCTCGACAGCAAGGTAACTAGTAATGGTATTGTGATAGCCATGTTTGGTTCTGTAAGATTATGATAACCAAAAGTCCTGTATGATATTGATGGAAAACACATTGTCTGCCAAAGACAAAACTCAGGAACTGACCTCTTTTAGCCAGCACCAGGGCCTCATTCATTCCCGATTCTCCCTTCCCATTGTGGTAACATTCAGTCAGGTGGGGTTTGGAGCAGCCAGGTTTTCACTTATGATCAGGGAACAGTGGAATTGAGTTCATTGGGCAACAAGACAGAAAAATTCTAGGGTCAGCCTGAAACCTTATCTAAGAACAGACTAGGTGGTGCCATCCTTTACATACTGTTTCACACAGAGGGTGGCATCAGGGTCTTGTCTTTCTTAGGGTTTAATGACATAAAAGTCCTTGTCCTCAGGAAAAGGCCTTATCATGTTCCTATAAACGCTGGACATGCCTACTGTAGTGTGACACCCCCACCCCCCCGAGCAGGTTAGAGAGTGGAGTCGGTAGCACTGATTTCCTATATGAGCTAATTTAAGTGAATAAAGAAGAGCCATGCTTGTACCCACAGACCAAGATAGAGAAGCAGCCCCCTCAGTCTCAACAGCAACTGCAGGGGCTGTGTGTCAGCCTGTCCTGTGCCCGTGGTCCCTGTGAGCAGCTCTCTGTCTCAACCCCGGATACTTTGTTTACTTATCTGAAGGAGTGTTTAATGTTACCTCTTCTCACAGGAGCTCAGACTATTCTGTCCCTGTAATCTTTCTCCAACATTCTTTCCACTGCTTCCCTCCAAGCCCAACTGAACTTCTATTTACTGGAATGTGTATTTTATCTCTTTTTCTCTTTTGAAGGGTTTTGTTTTATTTATTGAAAAAAGAATTCCAAAATAAGCTTAAGGACTACTTTTGCATTCCCCCCCCCCAAATTCCCCTCCCACACGGAACCCGCCCCACTTTCCGCTCTCTCTCCCCTTCCATTCATATCAAGATTCATTTTCAATTTTCTATATATACAGAAGATCAGTTTAGTATACATCAAGTAAAGATTTCAACAATTTGCACCCCCATAGAAACACAAAGTGAAATATACTGTTTGAGTACTTGTTATAGCATTAAGTCTCAATGTACAGCACATTGACAGAGATCCTACCTGAGGAGTAAGTGCACAGTGACTCCTGTTGTTGACTTTACAAATTGACACTCCTGTCTATGGCATCAGTAATCTCCCTATGCTCCAGTCATGAGTTTCCAAGGCTATGGAAGCCTTTTGAGTTCTCTGACTCTTATCTTGTTTAGACAAGGTCATAGTCAAAGTGGAGGTTCTCTCCTCCCTTCAGAGAAAGGTACCTCCTTCTTTGATGACCTGTTCTTTCCACTGGGATCTCACTCACAGAGATCTTTCATTTTTTTTTTTTTTTTTTTTTTTTTTTTTCCAGAGTGTCTTGGCTTTCCATGACCTGAAATACTCTCATGGGCTTTTCAGCCAGATCCGAATCTCTTTAGGGCTGATTCTGAGGCCAGAGTGCTGTTTAGGACATCTGCCATTCTATGAGTCTGCTGTGTATCTCGCTTCCCATGTTGGATCACTCTCCCCTTTATTTATTCTATTGGTTAGTATTAGCAGGTACTAGACTTGTTTATGTGATCCCTTTGACTCTTAGTCCTTTCATTATGATCAATTGTGAACTGAAATTGATCACTTGGACTAGTGAGATGGCATTGGTACATGCCACCTTGATGGGATTGAATTGGAATCCCCTGGTATGTTTCTAACTCTACCATTTGGGGCAAGTCAGCTTGAGCATGTCCCAAATTGTACATCTCTTCCCTCTCTTATTCCCACTCTTATGTTTAACAGGGATCACATTTCAGTTAAATTTCAACACTTAAGAATAACTTGGCCGGCGCCGCGGCTCACTAGGCTAATCCTCCGCCTAGCGGCACCGGCACACCGGGTTCTAGTCCCGGTTGGGGCGCCGGATTCTGTCGCGGTTGCCCCTCTTCCAGGCCAGCTCTCTGCTGTGGCCAGGGAGTGCAGTGGAGGATGGCCCGAGTGCTTGGGCCCTGCACCCCATGGGAGACCAGGAAAAGCACCTGGCTCCTGGCTCCTGGCTCCTGCCATCGGATCAGCGTGGTGCGCCGGCTGCAGCGCGCTGGCCGTGGCGGCCATTGGAGGGTGAACCAACGGCAAAGGAAGACCTTTCTCTCTGTCTCTCTCTCTCACTGTCCACTCTGCCTGTCAAAAATAAATAAATAAATAAATAAATTAAAAAATTTCTAAAAAAAAAGAATAACTGTGTATTAATTACAGAATTAAACCAGTCATATTAAGTAGAACAGACAAAAAAAAAATACTAGGAGGGATAATGTGTTAAGTTGTTCATTAACAGTCAGGGCTATGCTGATCAAGTCTCTGTTTCTCATAGTGTCCATTTCACTTCAACAGGTTTCCTTTTTGGTGTTCAGTCAGTTGTCACCGATCAGGGAGAACATATGATATTTGTCCCTTTGGGACTGGCTTATTTCACTCAGCATGATGTGTTCCAGATTCCTCCATTTTGTTGCAAATGACTGGATTTCATTGTTTCTTACTGCGGTATAGTATTCTAAAGAGTACATATCCCATAATTTCTTTATCCAGTCTACCGTTGATGGGCATTTAGGTTGGTTCCAGGTCTTGGCTATTGTGAATTGTGCTGCAATAAACATTAGGGTGCAGACCGCTTTTTTGTTTGCCAATTTAAATTCCTTTGGGTAAATTCCAAGGAGTGGGATGGCTGGGTTCGAACGGTAGGGTTATATTCAGGTTTCTGAGGAATCTCCAGACTGACTTCCATAGTGGCTTGACCAGTTTGCATTCCCACCAACAGTGGGTTAGTGTCCCTTTTTCCCCACATCCTCGCCAGCATCTGTTGTTGGTAGATTTCTGTATGTGAGCCATTCTAACCGGGGTGAGGTGAAACCTCATTGTGGTTTTGATTTGCATTTCCCTGATTGCTAGTGATCTTGAACATTTTTTCATGTGCCTGTTGGCCATTTGGATTTCTTCTTTTGAAAAATGTCTATTGAGGTCCTTGGCCCATCTCTTAAGTGGGTTGTTGGTTTTGTTGTTGTGGAGTTTCTTGATCTCTTTGTAGATTCTGGTTATTAACCCTTTATCTGTTGCATAGTTTGCAAATATTTTTTCTCATTCTGTCGGTTGTCTCTTCTCTCTCCTGACTCTTTCTTTTGCAGTACAGAAACTTCTCAATTTGGGCATCTGGTAGTTTCAAAAAATAATATTAGAACATGATTTAATTCTTAGCCAAGAACTTGCATGAGATATCAGTCCTCATTTCTGGTGGCAGAGTGTGTGATGATGAGTGAGCCAGAGGTTCTGGCATAGGGAAACTTGTGAGCATTCCTTGAAGTTTCCTCAGAAGGATATTAGCAGTAGCTAAGGGAGTTTGTGCATTTTTTAAAAGATTTTATTTATTTTATTTGAGAGAGAGAGTTACAGACAGTGAGAGGGAGAAACAGAGAAAGATCTTCTATCCACTGGTTCAGTCCCCAAATGACTGCAGTGACCGGAGCTGCGCCAATCCAAAGCCAGGAGCCAGGCGCTTCTTCCAGTCTTCCAAGCAGGTGCAGGGGCCCAAGGACCCCAAGGACTTGGGCCATCTTCTACTGCTCTCCCAGGCCATAGCAGAAAGCTGGATTGGAAGAGGAGCAACCGGGACTAGAACTGGTGTCTATATGGGATGCCAATGCCGCAGGCGGAGAATTAACTTGTGCCATGGTGCCGGCCCCTTGTGCATTTTTTTTAAGGTTTTATTTATTTATTTATTTTTTGGCAGGCAGAGTTAGACAGTGAGAGAGAGACAGAGACAGAGAGAAAGGTCTTCCTTCCGTTGGATCACCCTCCCAACTGGCCGCTATGGCCGGCACTGCGCCAATCTGAAGCCAGGAGCCAGGTGCTTCCTCCTGGTCTTCCATGCGGGTGCAGGGCCCAAGCACTTGGGCCATTCTCCACTGCACTCCTGGGCCACAGCAGAGGGCTGGACTGGAAGAGGAGCAACCGGGACAGAATCTGGCACCCCAACTGGGACTAGAACCTGGGGTTCCGGTGCCACAGGCGGAGGATTAGCCTCGTGAGCCGTGGCGCCGGCCATATTTATTTGAAAGGCGAAGTTACAGAGAGGCAGAGGGAGGGATGGAGGGAAGGGGGAGAGAGAGACAGAAACAGAGAGAGAGGTCTTCCTTCCACTGGTTCACCCCCCTGATGGCCACAATGGCTGGAGCTGCGCCAATCCGAAGCCAAGAGCCAGGAGCTTACTCAATGTCTCCTAAGTGTGTACTGGGGCCCAAGGACTTGGGCCATCTTCTACTGCTTTTGCAGGTCATACAGTGAGCTGGATGGGAAGTGGAGCAGCCTGAACTTGAACCGGTGCCTGGACAGGATGGTGGCGGCTTTACCTGCTATGCCACAGCATCAGCTTCCACATTTTTTTTTTTTTTTTTAAGATTTACCTATTTGAAAGGAAGACAGAGAAGGCAAGGCATACACTCTTTCCTTCTGCTGGTTTACTCTCTAAATTGCTACAACAACCTGAATCTAGGAGCCAGGAACTCCATTCTGATCTCCCATGTGGGTGGTAGGGGCCCAAGCACTTGGACCATCTTCCTCTGCTTTCCCAGGTACCTTAGCAGGGAGCTAGATCAGAAGTGGAGCAGCTGGGATTCCAGTCAGTGCTCCACGGTGGGATGCTGACATTTCAAGCAGGGTTTAACCCTCTTTGCCACAGTGCCAGTCCCACTGTTGGACATTTTATGGAAGGATTTGAAGCTTTTAGAAATTGGTAGGCTTCGGAGCCCAGTCATTTGCATAAGTACCTGGGGGTGCTTACAGGCCTTATGGGAAAAATCTCTAAAGCTGCCTCCTGCAGTGAGGCCACATTGTCCTTTGGGGAGACAGGGGCAAGTTGCTGGTTTTTGCTGTGCTTTGGTTTAACTTTTTCCTATTTCTTTCAGTACAGTTGAAAGCGGAGTGTAACAAGGGATATGTGAAGGTAAAGCAGGTATGTGTGTTTGTAATGTGGACTTCAATTTTATACTTGTTGGTTATCTTATGCTGTTGACTTTGTTTTTTAAAATGTTTTTTCATTTATTTTCAACTACTAGAAGGACAGAGCAAGAGAGAGATAAAGGGAGAGGTATTTTCTATCTGTTGATTCACTCCCCAAGTACTCGAAAGGGCTAGGACTGGGCTCAGCCAAAGCAAGAGCCCAGATCCATCTGGGTTTCCCACATGGGTGGCAGGGGCCCAAGTGCTTGAGTCATCATCTGCTTCCCATAATGTGCATTAGCAGGAAGCTGGATCAGAAGTGGAGTAGGATGTGGGTGTCCTGAGTGCTGGCCTAACCCATTGTGCCACAATGCCTGCCCCATATTGTTGACTTTAGAGTGACTGTACCAGCCAATGAGGGCTTTCTATAATGTGTGGCAGTGACTGGAGCAATATAGGTAAACATTAAGCATAATGCATGGCACACAGTGAGTGGTTAACATGGCAGTGACTTAAATTACTAACAATGTTATTGCTATCATAATTCTTTTTTTCTTTTATTTATTTGAAAGGCAAAGTTACAAAGAGGGAGTGAGGAATGGAGGGAGGGAGAGAGAGATCCATCCATCCACTGGTTTACTCCCAAAATGATAACCAGGGCTGGGCCAGGTGGAAACTAGGAGCCTGGAACTCCATCCAGGTCTCCCACATGGGTATCAGGGGCCCACGCTGTGTTGGGCCATCTTTTGCTGCTTCCCAGACACATTAGAAGGGATCTGGATCAGAAGTGGAGCAGTCGGGACTCAAACCAGTGTTCATATGGGATGCTAGTGTTGGCAGACAGTGGCTTAACTCACTGTGCCACAATGCCGGCACCTGTTACAATTATTTTGTAATTATTTATTCCCTAGGTGGGGGTCAATCCCACCAGCATTGACTCAGTCATCATTGGGAAGGACCAAGAGATGAAGCTGTACCCTGGCCAGGTTCTCTGCATGGTGAATGAACTTTATCCATATATTGTAGAGTTTGAGGAAGAGGCAAAGAGCTCTGGCCTGGAAACACACAGGAAGAGAAAGAGGTCAGGCAACAATGATTCTGTTGAAAGGGATGCTGCCCAGGAAGCTGAGCCTGGCACAGGGCTCGGACCTGGGAGCAGCCCCAGCCACTGTCCTGTGCCCCCAAAGAAGGGGAAGGATGCATCTACCAACAAGGTGAGGGTAGTGTGATTGATGGGTGACGTGGAGATTAAATGAGATATAATGACTGTTCAATTGTTTGTACACTGTGAAGTCCAGGCTCAGGGTTATTAACCATAATGAGGGTTATTCGCTATGATGAAAGAGTCATTTGTCTGTGGCTTGGAAATTGCTTGGGTGAATGTCCCTTTATATGCGTTTCTCTTCAGTTCCTGAGGTAAGCCACTTGAAGGAAAGTAGGACAATAATGGCAGTGTATTTTCCACTGAACGACTGAAATGGGTCAGTTGTTTGTATATCTATAGTAGTCTTGCATTAGAACACTTTTTTAAAAAAAATGTTATTTATTTGAAAGTCTGAGTTACACACACACACAAAGAGAGAGAGAGAGAGAATCTTCATTTACTGGTTCATGGCCGAATGAATAGGCATGAATGGCTGGGGCTGGGCCAGGCTGAAGCCAGGAGTCTGCCATGTGGGTGCACAGCTTCTATGCCAGGCACATTAGTAGGGAGCTGGATCTGAAGCAGAGCAGCAGGGTCTCCAACTGGAGCTCATATGGGATGCTGATGTCACAGGCTTTACCCACTTTGCCACAGTACCAGCTTCCTGGGACACTTTTCTTAGATTGTGTAATTCATATGCGGAATTCAAGGTGGACTCTTGATCAGGCTGTAGTTGGAGTGCAAGAGGGAAAAGATGTGATTTATGCTTTGACTCCTCTGGCCTCCATCTAGACACCCACTCCAAAAATAGGAAGACAGTAGGGGATGGCTGTGGTCCTTAAAGGCAGTAGGTTAAAGTAAAGGGAATGTAGTTCTGTTCTCAAAAACTAACTCATTTCCAGGTTTGATTGGACTTTGCTGTTTAACAGTATTAACTAATGCCAAATTTAGTTATTGGTATTTGCAATTTATATTATCCATTTTTGTCTAGGAACCTCTGGGTCACTGGAGTCAAGGCTTGAAGATTTCAATGCAGGACCCCAAAATGCAGGTCAGGATAAAATTTTTGAATTTAAGCAAATTAGATGTTTTAAATGATCACAGAGGTCATAATTCTACATTAAATCAAAGGATATTAATCCTTTATTTGTTTTATTGGGCTATTCTGTGAGAACAAGTGCTTTTTCCATTGGCAAAAAGGTAGCAACTGGAATTTGGAGAGAAGCTAAATTCTTCAAATGAATATCCCTTCTGCCTTACCTTTTATTATTATTATTATTTATTTTATATATATATAGAGAGAGACAGAGAGGGAGAGAGCTCCCATCCATTGGTTCACTCCTTGAATGCCTGCAGTGACCAAAGCTGGGCTGGGCCAAGGCCAGGAGCTTGGAACTTAATCTGAGGTCTCCCATCTGGGTGGCAGAGACCCAATTACTTGAGCCATCATTGCTGTATCCCATAGTCTATATTAGCAGGAGCTGGGAGTCAAACCCAAGGACTGTAGTTTGGGATTTGTGGGTTTTCCCTGGTGTCTTATCCACTTGGAAAATCCCTACCCCCCAAGTTTCTTTTTTTATTTTTATTCTACCCCTATTTTTTTTTTTTTTTTTTTTAATAATTTATTTGAAAGGCAGAGTGACAGAGAGGGGGAGAGAGAGAAAGTGATCCTTCATCTGCTGGTTCACTCCAAATGGCTATATTGGCCAGGGCTGGTCCAGGCTTAAGCCAGGGGACCAGAACTTTACCCAGGTCTCCCACATGAGTGGCAGTGGCCCAAGCACTTGGGCCATTCTTTGCTGCCTTTACAGGCACATTAGTAGGGAGCTGGATGGGAAGCAGAGCAATTGGGACTTGAACTCACACTTGATTTGGGCTGCTGGTGTTGTAAGTAGTGGCATAACCCACTCTGCCATAATGCTGGTGCTTCCCTTCACAGATCTATCTATCTGCACATATATATGTGTATATATATGTGTGTGTATACACACACATACACCCAGGATATATGTGTGTGTATATATGTATATGTGTGTGTGTGTATGTATAAATCAATCAATCAATCCAGATCTCCCATGTGGGTGCAGGGGCCCAAGTACTTGGGCCATCTTCCACTGTTTTGCCCAGGCCATTAGCAGGAGCTGGATTGGAAGTGGAACAACTGAGACTTGAACCAGCGCCCAAATGGGTTGCTGGCATCATAGGCAGTGGCTTTACCCACTATGCCACAGTGGCAGCCCCTCGCCCACAGATTCTTGTTCTGGGTTAGAATCCTAAATTTCCTACCTAGTAACTATGTGTGTTGTAAAAGACACTGGATCTCTGTGAGTCTCAGTGCTCTCATCTGTCAAAGTTGGGCTACAAAACATTTTGTACAAGACAGTGGTGGGAATTAGGTGACTTAATGAATATGACAGCACCTGGTACACAGATAATTCTCAGTAGATGTCTGTTTTCTTCTCTTGTGCCTCTCTGCTAGGTCTACAAAGATGAGCAGGTGGTAGTGATTAAGGATAAATATCCGAAGGCCCGTTACCACTGGCTGGTTTTACCATGGGCCTCCATTTCCAGTCTGAAGGCTGTGACCAGGGAACACCTTGAACTCCTCAAACATATGCACACTGTAGGGGAAAAGGTGATTGCAGATTTTGGGTCCAGCAAACTCCGCTTCCGACTGGGCTACCACGCCATTCCTAGCATGAGGTAAGCTTGTGGGAGGTCCTGGGGCCTTCTTGTTCTGTCCAGGTGTTCAGGTAGATTCAGCCTGGGCTTGCTGAGTGTGCTGACAGCCCTGAGGCCCAGGGGAGTAGGATGGGATGTTTTCAAGACCTCTCAGCTTGACTTACCTGCAAACCTGCTCTGCCTATATTTCAGTTATGTATGATTCTTTGTTCCTCTCAAAATTCAGACCTTTCAGGACTTCAAATATGAGCTAGATGCAGCAGCTTGATTCCTCTCAGGTGAGGAACTGTGGTCAGTGGCTTTTATCAGATTTTTCAAAAGCATCTGCAGTGCTAAAATGACTAAGGACTGTTGCTCTGAAGGAAACAAACACTGTAGGCTTCTTGAAAGATGGCTTAGTAGACCTAAGATTTAAAATAAAGTGAGAGGACAGTAGGGAGTCTGTTCCTTTGACTTATACCCAGAAGGATTTGGAAAGGAATTATTTTTCCAAAGAATGCAAGCAAGGCAGATCTTCACAGTTCCTTTGACCTGCAGAGTAAGATAATGAGACTGATTTCAAGTTTGTACCTTAATTTTATTTTTTAAAGATTTATTTGTTTATTTAGGGGCCGGTGCTGTATTTATTTGAAAGGCAGAGTTACAGAGAAGCAGAGAGAGAAAGAGCGGTCTTCTGTCTGTGGGTTTACTCCTTAAATGGCTGCAACAGCTGGAGCTGGGCCGATCCAAAGCCAGGAGTCAGGAACCAGGAGCTTCTTCCAGGTCTCCCACATGGGTGCAGGGGCCAAGAACTTGGGCCATCTTCTACTGCTTTCTCAGACCATAGCAGAGAGCTGGATCTGAAGTTGAGCAGCCGGGACTTGAACCAGCGCCCAAATGGAATGCTGGTGCCACAGGCAGAAGCTTAGCCCCCTAGGCTGCAACACTGGTCCCTGTACTTTATTTATTTATTTATTTTATAAAGACTTACTTTATTTATTTGAAAGGCAGAGTTACTGAGAGAAGTAGAGAGAGGGGTCTTCCATCCGCTGGTTCACTCTGCAAATGGCCACAATGGCCAGAGCTGAGCTGATCCAAATCCAGGAGCCAGGAGTTTCTTCTGGGTCTCTCATGTGGGTGCAGGGGCCCAAGGACTTGGGCCATCCTCTGCTGCTTTCCCAGGCACATTAGTAGGGAGTTGTATCAGAAATGGAGCAGCTGGGGCTCAAACCGGCACCCATATGGGATGCCAGCGCAGCAGGCAGAGGCTTAGGCCACTATGCCACTGCACCAGCTCCTGTAGCTTATTTTTTAAAAGTTGTGGTAAAATATGCATTAAGTGTATTCTTTACTGGCATTAAGTATATTCACATTATGGTGCAACCATCACTGCCATCCTTCTCCAGGCCTTTTTTTCATCTTCCCCAAATGAAACACTGTACCCAGTAAATAATAATTCCCCATTAGACCAACATTCCCCTTTCTGTCTGTGAATGGAGTACAATAGTCTTTCCTCATCTGTGATTCTGTGAGGGATATATTACAAGACCCCAGGGGGTGCCTGAAACTACTGAGCTCCATATGTATGCTTTTCTTTCTTCTTCTTCTTCTTTTTTTTTAATTTTACTTATTTGAGAGAGTTACAGCCAGTGATAGGGAGAGACAGAAAAGTCTTCCGTCCGTTGATTCACTCCCCAAATGGCCACAGTGGCTGGAGCTGGGCCATCCGAAGCTGGGCCAATCAGAAGCCAGGAGCCAGCAGCCTCTTCTGAGCCTCCCACACGGGTGCAGGGGCCCAAGCTCACAGGTGGAGGCTTAACCTACTGTGTCACAATGCCAATGTATACACTTTTTAACAATATGTACATATCTATGATAAGGTTTAAAAAAATTTTTTTTGACAGGCAGAGGTAGACAGAGAGAGAGGCAGAGAGAAAGGTCTTCCTTTTTCCGTTGGTTCACCCCTCAAATGGCTGCTACGGCCAGTGCGCTGCGCTGATCCGAAGCTGGGAGCCAGATGCTTCCTACTGGTCTCCCATGCGGGTGCAGGGCCCAAGCACTTGAGCCATCCTCCACTGCCTTCCCGGGCCACAGCAGAGAGCTGGACTGAAAGAGGAGCAACTGGGACAGAATCTGGTGCCCCAACCGGGATTAGAACCCGGGGTTCCGGCGCCGCAGGTGGAGGATTAGCCTAGTGAGCCGTGGCGCCAGCAAGAGAGTCATCTTAACAATGCACTGCAATGAAAGTTATGTACATTTGGTTTTCTTGAGGAGTTAAGACAAATATTAGTATTTTGGACTGTGGTTGACTTTGGGTAACAAAAACAAACTGCAGGTGGGGGGCACCATGCTCTGAGTATGTTATATAAATGAAATCATGCAGTATTTGATGTTTTGTGACTGACTTATTTTACTTAACATAATGATGTCTTCAGAGTTTATCCATACTGTAGTATGTGACTGAATTTCCTTTGGCAATTTTTTTGAGGTCAATACATCTTATATTATTTAAGGGAATACAGAATGAAAGACAACAATGATAGGCACTTAAAGACAGTTTCCAAAATCTTTTTGAGGGCCAGCACTGTGATATAGAAGGTTAAGCCTCCACCTGCAGTGCTGGAATCCCATATAAGCACTGGTTCAAGTCCAGGCTGCTCCATTAATGATCTAGCTCCCTGCTAATGTGCCTGGGAAAGCAGTAGAGGATGACTCCAAACCTTGGGCCTGTGCACCCTTGTGAGAAACCCCGATGAAGCTCCTGGCTCCTGGCGTCAGCTTGGCCTAGCCCTCGCTGTTGGACCATTTGTTGATTGAAACAGCAGGTAGAAGATTACTTGCTTTCTCTTTATCTTTCTCTTTTCCTTCTCTCTCTGTATCTCTGCCTTTCAAATAAATAAATAAATCATTAAAAAACATCTTTTTGATAATTTTTAATCCTAAAGTTATACTAGGTTAAATTAAATGACATTCTTTAAATATCTAGATCATTTCTAAGGAAAATACTAAAGTATTCATAAGTTTAAAATTACACCCTTTTGATTTTCTATTCTTTACCAAAATTTTTTAACTTAATATTTTTTCAGAAAACATATTTTGACTTACATTATAGTCAAAAGCTTAATAGCTGTACTAAATAACGAGTTCAACAAATAAAAAAAACATAGTCCAGCAGAAAAATAGGCAAAGTCTATAAACAATAATCAATGAAAAGATGTTCAACTTCCCTCATAAAGTTCCTTTGGTAATTTTTTTTAACCACCAACACTCCTGTTTATTTGTGTGGGTAATTATGACTTAGATTACTGATTGCTTTAACTAAATGAAATCTTTGTGCCACATTTCCCACTCTCCCCATCAATACTTTTTTTTAAAAAAATTTATTTATTTATTTGAAAGAGTTACAGAGAGGCAGAAGCAGAGGGAGGTCTACCACCCGCAGATGGCCACAACGGCCGGCTGGAGTTGCGCTGATCCGAAACTAGGAGCCAGGAGCTTATTCCAGGTCTCCCACGCAGGTGCAGAGACCCAAGGACTTGGGCCATTTTCTACTGTTTTCCCAGGCCATAGCAGAGAGTTAGATTGAAAGTGGAGTAGCCAGATCCCGCACTGGCGCCCCTGTGGAAATGCCAGCACTGCAGGTGGCGGCTTCACCCACTGTACCACAGCACTGGCCCCCAGTACTTTCTTTTTAATTGAAGCATAACTTCCATGCAATAAAATGCAAATAAATGCATATTAAAATTATTTATTTATTTGAAAGAGTTAGAGAAAGGGAGACACAGATCTTTGATCAGCTGGTTCACTGCCCAAGTGCCACACTGGCCAGGGCTGAGCCAGGATAAACCTAGGCTTCATCTGGGTCTCCCATATGGGTACAAGGGCCCAAGCACTTGGTCCATCATCCACTGCTTTTCCCAGGCCATTAGCAGGGAGCTGGATCAAAAGTGGAGCTGCTGGTGGCATCTCCATGTTGGCCCCCTTCTAATTTCTTTTAGCAGAGACAATTATTGTCCGTTTCTAGAGCTTCATATAAATGGAATTATACAATACATGCTTTTTTCTTATTTTTGAAAAATTTTTAAAAGACATTTTATTTGAAAGAGAGAGAGAGAGACAGAGACACAGAGAGAGCAATCTTCCATCCACTGGTTTGCTCCCCAAATGGCCACAACGGCTGGGGTTCAGTTAGGCTGAAGCCAGGAGCCAGGAGCTTCTTCCAGGTTTTCCTTTTGGTTCTGTTCTAAAATATGTTCAAAATAGGATTGGGGACGGCACTGGGGCGTAGTGGGTAAAGCTGCCACCTGCGGCACTGGAATTCCATGTAGGCGCTGGTTCTAGTCCTGGCTGCTCCACTTCCGATCTAGCCCTCTGCTATGCTCTGGGAAAGCAGAGGAAAATGACCTAAGTCTTTGAGCCCCTGCATCCATGTGGCAGACCCAGAAGAAACTCCTGGCTCCTGGCTTTGGATTGGTCCAGCTTTGGCCGTTGCAGCCATTTGGGGAGTGAACCATTGGATGGAAGACCTCTCTGTCTCTCTGCCTTTGCCTCTCTGTAACTCTGCCTTTCAAATAATAATAATAAAAAAAAATCTTAAAAAACAAAAAACAAAATAGGAATGCTTCTTTCCCTTTCAGCTACTACAGCTCAGCTCTGATCATTTGTGACTGGGAATGCTGCAGCAGCCTTCTAACTGATCGTCCTGTGGTACTCAGCCTTCGTACAGTCCTTTCTCCACACAGCAGCCAGAAACCCCTGCTTAAAATCTTCAGTAGCTTCCCAGTATAATCAGAATAAAATGCAAACCCCTTGCTGGCCCTAAGGACCCTTTATGATCTGGCTTCTGCCTGGCCTCTGCTCCTTGGCTCCAACAATTCTGGATTACTTTCTTTCTGTTCCCAGAGTGCACCAGGCTCTTATTCCTTTCAGAGCCCTTGCACTTGGCCTCCATACTCTCCCACTAATCTTGTTCTCCTGGTTTCTCAGCTCAAGTCTGCCTGGGAGAGGCCTTGTCTGAACACTGGCCAAAGATTCAGCCTCTATTCTCCAGCACTCTCTATCTGTTTCCTCTTTGACTTTTTTCTTAGCACTCTTGCTATTTGAATTGTTCTTGTATATTTATTTATTTATTGTCTTCCCTCATTAGAACATAATTTCTGTAAGGGCAGATAGGAGATAATTATTGAGCATTACTTCTTTTTTTTTTTTTTTTTTTAATTTATTGGACAGAGTTATAGACAATGTGAGAGAGAGAGACAGAGAGAAAGGTCTTCCTTCTGTTGGTTCACCCCCCAAAATGGCCGCCACGGCTGGAGCTACGCCAGTCTGAAGCCAGGAGCCAGGCACTTCCTCCTGGTCTCCCATGTGGGTGCAGGGGCCCAAGCACCTGGGCGATCCTCCACTGCCCACATCTGGGCCACAGCAGAGAGCTGGACTGGAAGAGGAGCAACCGGGACTAGAACCCGGCGTCCATATGGGTTGCCAGCACCGCAGGCAGAGGATTAACCAAGTGAGCCATGGCGCTCGCCCCTACTTATTCTTAATTAAAAGAATGAATTGAATCAAATAGGTGCACTGTCAATACTTTGTGTACTCATACTTTTATTGTTTGTTATTTTGATTAAGTCTTAGTTTTTAAATTTGTTTTTTGGTTGACTCATAAAATTATATCTATTTGTGGGGTATCGTGATATTTTGATACATTTATACATGTATAATGTTCAAAGTAGGGTAAACATATCTTCTCAAACATTGATCATTTCTTCGTAGTAAAAACAAAGTCCTTTCTTGTACCTGTATTTTTTTTTTTTTTTTTTTGACAGGCAGAGTGGACAGTGAGAGAGAGAGAGACAGAGAGAAAGGTCTTCCTTTGCCGTTGGTTCACCCTCCAATGGCCGCCGTGGCCAGCACTGCGCTGATCCGATGGCAGGAGCCAGGTACTTCTCCTGGTCTCCCATGGGGTGCAGGGCCCAAGGACTTGGGCCATCCTCCACTGCACTCCCTGGCCACAGCAGAGAGCTGGCCTGGAAGAGGGGCAACCGGGACAGAATCCGGCGCCCCGAGCGGGATTAGAACCCGGTGTGCCGGCGCTGCAAGGTGGAGGATTAGACTAGTGAGCCGTGGCGCCGGCCTGTACCTGTTTTGAAATGTAAAATATATAGTGCATTATTGTTATGACTAATCACCCTTCCATCCAGTAGACCAGCAAAGCTTATTTCTCTTATGTTAGCTAAAACTCAGTACCCACTGACCAACAATTCCCAGACCTCTCTCCCTGTTACTCTCCCCAGCCTCTGGTAACCATTTTCTGCTCTAAACTGCTATGAGATCACCTGTTTTAGATCCCACCTGTGAATAAGATTGTATAATATTTGCCTTTGTGTGCCTGACTAAATTCATTAATGTAACGATCTCCAGTTCTATCCATATTGTCACAAGACATAGGATTTCATCCTTTTTGTGGCTGAATATCTGTTGTGTATATAAACCTCATTTTCATTATTCATTTGTCAGTTGATGGACACTTAATAAGTTGATGGACACTTAACATAAGTTTTAATAATTTTAATGGTCAATTTTGTTTTCTTTCAACTAGCCATGTACACCTTCATGTGATCAGCCAGGATTTTGATTCTCCTTGCCTTAAAAATAAAAAACACTGGAATTCTTTCAATACAGAATACTTCCTAGAATCACAAGGTAACAGTGTTCTTTGATTTTTATGTTTGTTCCATTTTTTTGACTGTTCTTATACTTGATTCAGTTGTTCCTAAAGAATAATCTGGCCTTGAAAACAGTCCTATACAAAGAAATTGTTTTGTTTGGGTTATAGTGTGATTACCACTTTGCTGTGAGCGGCCTTCTTGGGGGATGCTTTTTTTCAGGGTCAAAAGTGTTCTATTGTGACAGCAGGGATTTAACAGTTGTCATGAGAGTTATTGGAGATCATGGATGAGAAAGCTCTGAACAGTTGTCTGTTTTGCCTTAAGTTTGACAGGAGCTTGTGGGTTGCTTCAAGTGTCAGGAGTGGTTCACTGACAGGGAAGGCTGTGTGTATGTAGAAGGAAGCATTGCTTGGTTGTCAAGTGTGGAACTTCAGTGTTGCTAGGATGCTAACAGTTACAGCTACCGCCAACCAGGAGTAACACACTGATGGCCCTTGACAGAGCAGTGTGGATTGCTTAGAGTGTGTCCTGAAGGAATGTATTTTCTCAGAGGTAGGTTACGTGGATTAAGAATCTGAACAAACCATTTTCCTAGTGGAAGTCTTGCCTCAGGCTTACTGGCTTTTTGAATACCTGGCATGTTGATTGGAGATGTACTTTCTTTTTGGCTCTGTAGAGTAGCTGGGATATGAACTTTTCTCTCTTGCCTACAGCTGTGATCGGGATGGTGCAAGAGGCTGGCGGAGTGACTGTCCGAGATGGGACCTCTGAGCTCCTGAAGCTGCCCCTTCGTTGTCATGAGTGCCAGCAGCAGCTGCCTTCCATTCCTCAGCTGAAGGAGCATCTCAGGAAGCACTGGACAGCGTGATTCTGCAGGGCTGAACGGCTGCTGCGGGTGCGGCCAGCTGTTCGGAGCGAACTGCTGGCACCTATTCTGGGTTGCTTGTGAACTGTTCATTTCTTGGATTAAAACATGCAGCATTTTTACAAAGCTTATTCTGGTTTTATTTTATTTTTAAAGATTTTTATTTATTTATTTGAAAGGCAGAGTTACAGAGAGGCAGAGAGAGAATGAGAGAGAGAGAGAGAGAGAGATAGCTAGCTAGCTAGCTAGCTAGCTAGCTTCCATCTGCTGGTCGACTCCCTAAGTGGCTGCAAAGGTCAGAGCTGTGCTGATCTGAAGCCAGGAGCTTCCTCTGGATCTCTGACTCAGGTGCAGGGGCCCAAGGACTTGGGCCATCCTCTACTGCTTTCCCAGGCTATAGCAGAGAACTGGATCGGAAGTGGAGCAGCTGGGACTTGAACTGGTGCCCAAATGGGATGCCAGCACTGCAGATGGTGGCTTTACCTGCTATGCCACAATGCCGGCCCCCTGGTTTGTTTTTTATTTGAGAGTGAGAGAGAGACAGAGACAGGGAGAGCTCCTATCTGCTGGTTCACTTCCCTAATGCCCATGATAGCCAGGGCTGGGCCATTCTAAAGCTAGGAGCTGGGAACCAATCAGCTCTCCCATGTGGGTGGCATGAACCTAATTACTTGAGCCGTCACTGCTGCCTCTCATGGCCCACGTTAGCAAGAAGCTGGAGTCAGGAGCTGGAGCTGGGTATCAAACCCAGGTAACTCTAATGGGGATATGGGAATCAGATATATTTATTTGAAAGGCAGAGTTACAGAGAGGCAGAGAGAGAGAGAAAGAGAGAGAGAGAGAGATGTCTTCCATCCGCTGGTTCACTCCCCAGATGGCTGCCATGGCCAGATCTGGGCCAATCTGAAGCCAGGAGCCAGGAGCTTCTTCCAGGTCTCCCACGCGAGTGCAGGGGCCTGAGCACTTGGGCCATCTTCTACTGCTCTCCCAGGCCATAGCAGGGAGCTGGATTGGCAGTGGAGCAGCCAGGACTCAAACCGGCACTCATGCCACGGTACCGGCCCCAAGGGATATAGGAATCTTAATCAGTGTCTTAACTAGTTGGCCAAACACCCGTCCCTTAAGTGGCCATAGTGTAGGGTGATTTGAAATAATTCACGAATTAGGAATCTGGATTTGTCAAGAATGTGTTCTCTGGATGTGAGGGTGGCTGGGACATGTGTGATCACCATCTCCAGGACCTCTGTGAGGCCTGAGTAATGAGGGTGGAGCAACAGACTTACCTAATGCAGGGTTTAGGAGCGGAAAGCTGGCTGTCTGTTCCTGTGCCTCGCCTGTATCCTCCCCTCCCGCAGGCACATGGTGGCGGCTTTCAGCAGAGCAGCTGGGGTGGTCTCTTGTTTATCCTGATGGCTGTGCTGGACCGTGTTCTCTGCCTTAGGATAGTCTCCCTTCCTTCACGAGGAGGCTGAGTGACTCCCGTCTTTTCCACTTCTCTCCTAGATTACATAAACGTTCCTGTCGGTTCTTCACTGAGTGGTGAGGCTAGATGAGGGCAAGGAAGATGGACTTTTCCTCTGGTACTGGGGGTCCTGGCCGCTGAGGAAAACTCAGCCCTATGTTCATCACTGCTCAGCTCTCGAGTGTTCTTGCTGGTCTGCTTGGGTATATTGTCAGAAAGCAAAGTTCGTTTATTTGAGGTGTTTCTCCAAAGTAGCTGACAGCTGTCAGAAGCTGACAATCAGAGTCAGTCTAATGCGTTAGAAGGCAGTTATTGAATGACAAGGCTGAATAGAATCACAGCCTTATTTTCCCCTGAGAAGAAATTGGGATGGAACAGTTGTTTTGAATTGGTTTTGGGATAATACTAGATCTAAAGGTAAAGGGAAAACTATAAAGTTTTTGATCAAATTGTTGGTGTATTTGAGGACTCCTGACTTGTTGAAAAAACGCCCTAGAGACCACATTTGACCTCGGTGTTGGTCACAAACAGGATGCCACAGTGAGGGTGGGTATAGAATACTTAGGAATTAATGGTTATGGCCCTGCCAGGACACATGAACCATTTTCTAGTTGGCTTTCCGGGCCAGTTATAGGACTTCTTTTCCTCTGTGGGGTCAAGGTTATTTCAGGATCCAGGACACCTTGGCCTTTGGGTAAGGGAAAGTGCCTGTCTATAGGGACCAGTCCTTCCTTTCTGCAGGCGTTGATGGGAGCCCTCTGGCCCAAGCCCCTTCAGGCTGGGTCTGGAGCCAATGATATTCTCCCTGAATGGCTCCCTTTCTCCCTGCATGTGATGGATGCTGTCAGCCTTAGGCTCAGAGCATAAGCATTTTTCCTCTTCTGGGTCAGTCTCTGAGAAACGCAGGTATAAATGGTCCTTGCAGGACCAGATCATAGTTGAGGCTCTCTGCAGGTGTCAGGGACATTTCCTGGTGCCTGAGAAGGGGCATTCAGTCACACACGCTGGGTACAGCTATGAGTCAGAGGCTTAGGGCTCTTCTGTCAGAATTGGCCTCACTGCTGCCCTCTGCTCCCCACAACTCCAGCTTGAAGACTTCCACAGAATTTTTGAAGAGTCTTCCGTAAACCAAAATTTAAAATCCTGAAGCCCACTTTGCATAACCCTCTATGGGTACACACTGTGTTGTTATCAGGGAGTTCGTGGAGCCATGGAAATGCTTCCATTGACTCCAAGGTCTATGGACCCCAACTTGAGGATCTCTGCTGTGCATCTGGGATGTTCAGAAGGGGTCCAGGGTCACCACATGGGTCTGGGGCAGACTTTATCCATTGGTCTTTCTGGTCTGTGGATCTATTTTTTTTTTTTTTAAAAGATTTATTTTATTTGTTTGAAAGAGTTACAGAGAAAGGTAGAGACAGAGAGAGAGGTCTTCCATCTGCTGGTTCACTCCCCAGATGGCCACAACGGCCAGAGCTGCGCTGATCTGAAGCCAGGAGGCAGGAGCTTCTTCCCGGACTCCCATGTGGGCGCAGGGACCCAAGGACTTGGGCCATCTTCTACTGCTATCCCAGGCCATAGCAGAGAGCTGGATTGGAAGAGGAGCAGCTGGGACTAGAACTGGTGCCCATATGGGATGCCAGCAGCTCAGGCCAGGGCTTTAACTCATTGCGCTACAGCGCCAGCCTGTGTGGATCTATTTTTGATACCATCTCCGTCAGCCTCCTCGATTTGTAGAGAGCCTCCTCGATTTGTAGAGACAGCTGAGACTTGAAGGTTTAAAGGCGTGCTTTCAGCCATGTAAACCTGGTCTTGGCCTTTGTCAAAGTCCTCTCGATGCTCTCAGGTACTGGCATCCTGTTTACAATAAGGATTGACTAACTGTTGAGTCCCACTCGCCTCTTGCTTCTCAATATTTTCTTCATTCAAAGGTAGAGTAGAAAAATAAAAAGAACTTAGGATTATATCTGAGGCTCAGCTCTGTTAGATGTTAGCTGTGTGAACTTGGGGAACTCATGTAACTTATCTGGGCTGAATTTTCTCATCTGTGAAATGGAGTTAAAACATGTACCCCTCCCCTCAGGGCTGGCTGTAAGGATTAAATAAACATAAACATGAGTGGCCCCTGCCAAACTCTAACCCCATCTCTCTGTGAAGCCTCAGTGTCTCCCATTTTTCTTTCCAATCTTGCTTCTTGTATTTAAAACCAGGGCCTTGGACTGCATGATTCCTACTTGTAAGATTCAAGTCTTTCAGTGTCAGCTGGTTACCTCCCATTTCTCTGCCCTAAAGGTCTCTGTTTTTCTGTTGCCAAACTTGGCAGATGGACGTTCTAAGGTGTAAGAGAGACTTTGCAACCATGTCTCAGCCTACGAAGTATCTGTGTAAAGAAGTATTTGTCCTACTTTGCTGACTTTGGACCCATGGCAGGGAGAAAAGGGCATAGCTGAATCTAGGGGCTTGAATGACACTATTAAAACACTCCTGTTTCTTTTTAAAAAGGATTTATTGATTTATATGAAAGAGTTAGAGGGAGAGACAGAGAGATCTTCCATCCACTGGTTCACTCCCCAGATGGTCACAACAGCTGGCACTGTGCCAGGCTAAAGCCAGGAGCCAGAAGCTAGGAGTTTCTGGATCTCCCATGTGGGTGCAGGGGCCCAAGTACTTGGGCCATCTGCTGCTGCTTTCCCAGGTGCATTAGCAGGGAGCTGGACCAGAAGTGGAGCAGCCAGGGCTTGAACTGGTGCCCATATGGGATATCAGCACTGCAGGTAGAGGCTTAACCTTTTACACCACAGCACTGGCCCCCCTTTCTGTTTCATAGTTTAATTTTCCCATGTTGGCTCTCTCCAGAGGGTATCTAAAGATTCCCTGTGGTGGCTGACGCCACGGCTCAGGCTAATCCTCTGCCTGCGGCGCCGGCACACCAGGTTCTAGTCCTGGTTGGAGTGCCGGGTTCTGTCCCAGTTGTTCCTCTTCCAGTCCAGCTCTCTGCTGTAGCCTGGGAAGGCAGTGGAGGATGGCGCAAGTACTTGGGCCCTGTACCCATATGGGAGACCAGGAGAGGCACCTGGCTCCTGGCTTCAGATCTGCATGGTGCGCCGGCCACAGTGGCCATTGGGGGGTGAACCAATGGAAAAAGGAAGACCTTTCTCTCTGTCTCTCTCTCTCACTGTCCACTCTGCCTGTCAAAAATAAATAAATAAATAAAGAAAGAAAGAAAGAAAGAAAGATTCCCCGTGGGCCTTGGAGTGAGCAACCCTTCCTCCCTACCCTTCCTACCAAAGCATAGAAAGGGCCCTGATTGCTCTGCTTAGAGCAACACTCATCTCCAGATGAATCACAGTCTCCCTCGAGAGGATGGCATACTGTGGCCATCTCAAGTGATGGGGTCATCTTGAGGTGAGAGTGAAGGACTCTGGGGCTGATGACCTCACCAGAATTACATGGAGCAGAGAGGAGCAATTTGCAGAACAACAGCTGTCTACTATTGCACACATCACCCCAACCTGCTGATCACTGCCTTGGCCCCAGGTTGCTATCTTGTAGTCCAACACTGAGAAGACAAACAGCCCTGGACTTCCGGCACCTGTGGGTTGAAGTTGATGCGACCCATTGTCGTGCTCCCAGCCTGTGCTGTTTGATGTGGACTACAGGAAGAGCTCC